GGGGGGGGGGGGGGGGGGGGGGGGGGGGGGGGGGGGGGGGGGGGTTTGGGGACAGCACCTTAAAAGCCAGATTTTCACAAGGGCTCATTCCCCAGAGTGCACGGGGATTGCAAATGATTGCAAACATTACGCGTCCACTGCGTTGCACACGTTATATATCCACTGCACATACACATAATCGGTATACTTAACGTGTAAAAGCCAAAGATCCATCAAAATGCTGATAGAGGATTTCTGGGGTAGGTCTAGTTTCAGTGCGGAGATTGCCGTGGCAGCTGTTTCCCCGTGGCCAACTGTACACCTTCAGCAATTGCCTGCGTGGAAAGATAGCATGGTAGAAGGCGGCGGGCTAAACTCCTGCCGGTTGGCGCCAGGGAGGAGGGGAAGGTGGGCGCGGGGTATGTGGCAGGTGCTGCGGAGAGACCCACGGCAATTGTCCCGCAGGGCACAACTGTGCCCCGAAACTCTGTCCTTGTGTGTGGCCGGGGTTATTCCTGTGCTGTTTGTCCGGCAACACTTGTAACCTCACAACAGTAAAGGAGGAGCTCCTCCTGTCAGGCGAACCAGAGGGTCATCATCAGCGACATGGAGTTTGTGGTTGCTAATTGTGATCTGGGGAGGTGGTCAGGTGGAAAACATCCGTCCTAGCTGGATGCAACATTGTCAGCAAAAGAAAAAAATGGCCTCAAATAAAGAACTACTATCCAGCCATTTCAAAAGATGGCTGAGAAAGGAAACAGACCTTTCTATGTAATAATTCTCGCCTCTGAGGTACAAAGACAATGAAAGTTAAAGTGATAAAGTTTTCCAAAAAATGTGCAATAGAAATACAATTATTTCCATGGAGCATGTATATTGTACCAGTTACCCAGTACACCATGTCTTAATCCTCTGCTGCGAGGAACAAATAAATTATTTTTTAAAACTGTATTCTTTTGTTTGTGAATGATTAACTACTGTTACAAATTGAACTCTCTTCAAGACAGCATGTGTCAAGTGAATAAAACGACTGCTTTCTTTTTTCTCTGGGCTGAATAATTTTGGATCTATACATCTTAAATTAAATAGATCACTTTGACAAGGTGTGTATGACCCAACCAGTAGCTAGCCAGTGGCTGGCACGTTTTTCCCTTGCAAAAGTTGTGCCACAGGTGTCTGTCCTTAGAGTGAAGTGGGTGAGTGCTGGTCTCAGCTGGAGCAAATTGGCCTCTCAGCCCAGAAAACAGTGAGCTTTGAAAGATTTATCTGTACATTTAGGGTTGAATTTAGAGTTGGGTCCAGTATGGAATAAGGAGAGAGGAGTTACTGGCAGTGAATTTCTGGATTTTCTCTATTTGAGCTCCAGCTAATGTCTCACCTAAGCCAATTCTTGAGTATTTTTCAAAGGATGGGTCAGTTTTCAGCCCTGTGTTGCATGACTTAGTTAAAGGCAGAATTTGTGCCTAGAAAGCACAGGAATAGAGTAGGATTTGTGACTGATAATCTATTAACTATGC